TTTTTTTTTTTGAATTAATTGGAAGGACAGTGAATAATAGTGGACGATGAATGGAAAAAAAAGTGTTGTTAGTCTTAGTTTTTATAAACAAAAGTTTCTTTTATCTGCTAAGGTGTGATGTCGTTAAGAGTTGCTGCTGTTAAGGTTGTTAGTGAAAATAATAACGATGATGGCAGAAATGATGATATGATGACTGATGTTCTTTGGGAATCTACTTAGGGAATCCGATAAATAGAAGAATTTTGTTGGTTGCATAAACGGGAAATTTAAGAATTATTTAGCTTTCACCGATTTTATAGAAAGACCATAAAGCTGCTTATTTTATTTTAGTTTCTGTTCCTCCTTAACGTCGGTTAATAAATACTGGCATACAGAATAGATTTTTAGTGGCTGCTGGGAAGGTTTGAAGTATTGGGAGTGGTCGTGAAAGTTGGAAAAGCAGCTAAGCAGCTGGTCTATGTTGATTCCGTTGAAGGGAATGGAAAAGAAGGAAGACAGCGAGTTCAGGCAATCAAAGGACTTCCTTTATTCTTAATTCTTGAGAATTTGGATTTTTATAGGTTATATTCTATCAGCTTTAGGAAAATTTAATTGATTTTATGTCTTTGTTGGACGGTCTTCTCGTCATGTTTTATGTCCAATTCAAATGAATTTAGTTTTAGCTGAACAACTGAGTGACGCAGAAATTTGAAGGAAGAAGACACAGAAAGCAATAGCGCTATAAAACATAAAGTTTTTAGAAGGTATTTGGAACTCAGCTACAAATTACCAGCAAAATAACCGCAGTTGAGTTTTGTGCGGTAAATTTTGTGTGGTTTGTTCAGAATATCATTTTGGGTGATAGTCACCAAGAAAAAAAAGGAAAGATTAGTGAAAAAGCTGCATTTTATCGTTAGTGATTCCCGGAGGCTTTGTCGCTTTGAAAACAAATATGTATTTTGTAACGATTTGTGCAAATTTAAAGGCGCTAATATCGGTGTTGTGTATAAGTGCACTTAATGGTGAAATGACCGTGAAAGTTGAAGAAAAATAACCGATTTTGTTCGTTTTTTTTTTCGTTCTTTATTCTAAAGCTATCTAAGAAAGAGAAAGAAATGAGTTTCTTGTTTAGTTTAGTTTTTCTTCATTTTGTTGTCGTTTCTAGTATTTCATTCATTTTTCTTTTTTATTTTTTCTCTTCCTTTTTCTACTTTGTTTTTTTTTGCAAT